TTTATCCTGAAATATGTCAGAATATCTCAGCTTTCAAGCTCATCAATAGGAGAAGGAAAATGCTAAAAATTAAGAGAACATTAATAAAAATGCTCTTTAGTTCCTCATCATATTAAAACAAAAAGCTTTAAGTGACGGTCAGATTTTACTCCAATCAATGGAAAACATTAAATAAGTTATTAATATACTGAAGCTGAATGAAATGAGGTTTATTCTGGAATCACACAGAAAACAAACCCAATTATCACGTTTCTGAATTTAATTAAAACTGACCTCGTTCTGTGCAGGAAAGATAAAAACTAAAGCGAACCAGATGTTCCTCTGGTTGCCTGGAGACGATGAAACAGCAGCTTTGGATCAGAACCGGGTCAGACCAGAAGGTCAGCTTCCTGTTAGGAAGGGGTCAGAGGTCAAACTGTCCAACTCTTCTTCTGCTGCCTCTCTCCCTGTTCTCAACAGCATCACCTACTGTTTATTAGAGGAACTGCAGTGATTGTAGCAGAAAACTGTCATTTAGTCGAAGCTTCATTCAGTGTTGATGGTGACAGAAAGTCAGTTTACAACAAAAGGCCAATCAGCCATTTTAAAGACAAAACCCACAGCAGGCAGCAGATCTGACAAGAAGAAGGACGAAGCAGAACCGAGCTGACTGGACCGGCTGACAGCGTCCGTCTGCTCCAAAACCTCCTGCAGCTGGACAGACGAGGCGCCGCAAAAAACAGCTTTAATATGGTCAAAATTCCATGTTTTCCTTTTTAACCATATTTATTAACCCACAAGCAAACAACTGGTCAAATCAATAATCAACATTTATTCCGTTTCTGTGGAGGACTGCTGTGGTTCAGCAACAGGAAATGTTTTAGTTAAAAGGACTGAACGGTTAGAGAAACGGCCTTAAAGAAGAAACTGGAGCAGAAAAACCAGTAAAGACGGAGCAGAGCGGACTGGTTACTATGGAGATTGGAGGAGGAGACGCACCGAGCTCCTCCGCTCCCATGGAGGATGGATGTTAATAATCACAGCTTCAATAACCGTTATTATTACAATATGCGAGATATGAATGAGAGCCGATGGAATCCTACCTGGATAAACAGAATATGAATCTGAAGGTTTCCATGTTATCAGAATCTAGAACATTCGATTCTGTTTGCATTCCAGCTGAATTTATTCTGGTATTAACTTACTTTATCAAACGGTCAAACAGATATTACCGGGTTTTGGTTCAGTCTGGGTCAGAGTGGACTATGCTGCATGACGTCAGGAGATGCTAAGCTGTGACGCGATGCATCATCAGAAAACATGATTCAAACGAAGCGTCTGCCCTCCGGCTGCTTCTGAACAGCCGGAGCGTTTCCAGTGTCTGGATCAGCGTCTCTGATTGGTCACATCATTTACACACAAACAACCAGCTGCTCAGCAAAGAAAATGCAGATTAGAAATCATTTTTCCACCACTATTTTGGCGCCCCTCTAGCGCGGCGCCCGATGCGTCTCATGTCGTACGTACTCACTTTTTGTACTGCTGCAACAGATGAATATTAGGATTATCCTCTGCCAAACCTTCATTTGGCGAGACGTTGAACTCAGCTCTCTGACTGGAACAGTGATCCCCCCCACCTGCAGGTGGCAGCATCACTTTCCTTCCAGAAATTGATTCCCTACATTTAATAACTTTTACTAATCTAGAATAAATCAGAGGCTTGTGCAGAAGAACAAACCAGCCTCTCCGACTGGAAATGTTTTGATCAATCAGAGGTTGTTAAATCTGTTCTCTTATAACCCAAACCCACCCCACACACACACACACACACACACACACCCCTCCTGGAGAGTAGCTCGCCTCCCTGACATTTTCCTCCCTCACATCCGACTGATTTGAATACCCAAAGCAGCCGCCCTGATTTGTTTAGGCATCCGAGGAGTCACGTCTGCGCCCCGGGCCGGCAACGCTGCGCATGCGCGACGCTGATCGCTATCTGGGCTCTTTGATGCACACATGCATCCATTCGGTATCTGTGATTGGTTCCACTCCGAGACGAGTTAAATCATCTTCCAGCGATTAGACTCAGACTCAGAGCAGCTCAACTTCCGGCCTGATGCGGATCAGCATGCAGATCTACAGATCTAGATCTGTTAGCTATAGATCTAAGTCAGGTTCCATCACAGACCCCAGTGCAGGACCCCCTCCCCATCTGCTCTATAGATAGAACATTACCAAGAAATGCTAAACGTGAAAACGTGACCCCTCACCCCAACACATAAACACGCATCAAGCATCCAGAGCCGATTAAACCTGAGCCTTAAAGAGCATCTGTGTGTGTGTGTGTGTGTGTGTGTGGTTGATATGCAGTCTGTGATGTTGGCTGCTGTGACTGAGTTCATGCTTGGTTCTGAGATCTGTGCTTCATCTCAGGAGTGCTGACGAGATTCAGAAAGAAAACAGAGAAAGTGGTGATGAATATCAAACAGCTTCTCCGACTTCCTCAGAATACTGACTGGAACCAACCAAACATCACCAACAAATCACAAATACATGATGCCGCTGCCAGGCAGCAGGAAGGTTGTGGGTTTGAATCCCAGCCTGGGCTCTTTCTGCAGCCGTGGTTCTCTCTGGGTGCTCCAGCTTAATGTTCCTCTGATGTTCCTTAGATACGAGTCTGTGTACAAAGTGTGTGAACAAACCGTAACATGGTGTGTGTGTGTGTGTGTTTTCACGCCACACACACCCACTCAATCCATCTTCTGTAGCTCTGCTAGCAGAGCTACAGAAGATGTGAGCCACACCACCAGCCAATCACAGACAGCTCTTTTCCATCCAATCAGATGAGTGTTTCATCCTTGCTTGAAGATAAACAACCAATCACAACCAGCCAATCAGAACGCTGTATCAAGCGGCAGACATTACGACACGAACAGGAAAACTTCGTCATAAATACTTAAACTTTATTAAACATACATACTTATTTATCATTTTCCATTTTAGGTAATACTTCTTTTATTTAACTTAAATATGACAAACATTATATTGGCTGATTACTTACAGTGGATGCAACTTAAGTGCAAAAAAATTATTTTATTGCATTTTTTTCTTGCCTTTTTGAAGACTCAGTAGTTTATGTTTAAAGTCTCCAATAACACAAATCATATTTTAAATGTCCAGCTTTCCTCCTGCCACTGGGTTCAGCTGGTTTTCAGCGAAACTCTGAGCATTTTTTATTTCATTTTTCCAACCAAACTAAAAGAATCAGTGAAACGCAGCACAACTGGACATGAAACACTTTCTTTAAAAACGGAGGATAAAAACCTCCAGCAGAAACTGCGACAAGGAAACCGCGTTTCTCCTGATCTCGTTTCTGCTGATCTCGGTCCTGCTGATCTCCGTCTCACATGGCGGGGCGGATCTGACAACTGGACCATCTGGACCGACGGGAAACATCAGCAGACGGACACGGAGAACCGACTCCGGAAGGATTCTGTAATAGATTAGTTTGTTGCCCCCTAGTGGTCAGAAATACAGACATAACTGTTTCTAGGGATAGTTTCTGATAGGCCAACTATTAGGTTGTCGAGAGCTGACGTCAGACACTGGTGTGGTTGTTCTGTTCTGTGTTCCGCCATTAAAACCAAGTAAACCCGTATTCGCAGCTCCTCTCTCTGATTCCTTTCCAACCGAGAATATCACAGATTCCTGCACCAAGCAACGAGGGCGAGAAGGAAACGCCACAGACTGAAACCAGACCGGGACCAGTATGGACTGGGACCAGTATGGACTGCCGACAAACAGCTGGAACCAGTGAACACCAGATACTTCCTGCCTGTTTTAATAGTTAAAACGTCAAACACACATAAAGTAGAAACAATCTCAGCTACTGCAGAGCATCAACAATCTTCCATATTTCCGCTCATCCAATCAGCACCAAGGAAAATCACAGCTCCTCCTGGATTGGCTGCTTTGGAAGTGATAGCCAATGGAGTGTCAGATATTCCAGCTTTAGAGCTTCATTTTCTTTAAAACATTTTTGTAAAATAGATACATTTTCCACAAATAATATGGAGTCATGTTCTAGAGAAAGAGGTACACTCTAATATTTATGATATTATAAACATTGATTATCAGCTATTTTAATATTAGCCATCTGATTTTTCTAGAAATATTTTTATATCTCAAATTTGTATTGAGAAGTAAAGTTTGGGTGCAAGACACCCTAAATATTATATCCTACCAAATATTGGCTTTTCACACCAAGACGACTGAGATTCAACATCTTGTGCAGAAAACGAATTGAATCCAAACATTAAATGGACAGGAAATTATTCCTGTTTTTATTCAGATAAAATGACAACAGAGCAGATTGTTCAGAAACTTTTATGCAAACATTCAGATTCAGACTTTGTTGTGGATTTGAAGGTAAAACATTTTGTTTTGGGTCAAATATTCATCAGCAGCAGATCTATGATGTAGATTATGAAGAGAGAATAAGAAAATATCCTCAGCTGCGTTTCTCCCCACACAGAGAGGAAAAGTCAATCTAAATTTCACTCGCTGCTCCTGGAGGCAACAAGCTGAGATAAAAGGAAATTAATCCTAATTATTGCTGAGAATATCGGTTGTTTCCTGACCCCCCTGCAGACCCCCGCAGGGAGACATTCTCTAACATCTCAGTAGTTTCCATCAGAGCTGAGGATGAAGAGGATGAAGAGGATGATAGCCCTCAGGTGAGCAACCCTCCACTGCAGGGGGGAGGGGGTGAGCATCTGGGGGCCACATGCCACCCAGGGGGGGTCTGGGGGGGGGGGTAACTGGGGCTTAATGTGCGCCCCTGGTTCCAGTCCCCCACCCCGGCTGCTCAGCAGGAGCTCAGAAGTTTAACTCCTCAGAACCAGCAGACCCAACAGAACTCCGTCCCCCCGGGCGCACATGGCTCAGCGGCCAGGGGCGCACACAGACAGGACGCGGACACGCCGGAGGAACCTGGAGGAACCGGGAGCAGCAGCGCTTACCGTGCAGAGAAGCCGCGATGCTGCGGGAATCATAGATCCGCTCCGAGAGTCCGCATGTCCGCCGGAGAGCAGAGGAAGAGGAGGATGAAGAGGCTGCTGCTGCTGCTGAGGAATAATCCGACTGTCAGTGACAATAACCCGAAGAGGAGGAGGGACAGGGGAAGGGGGTGGGGGGGGGGAAGGCGAAACCCCAGCCAATTAGAAACAGAGGGACTGATTGTTGCAGGAAATCAGACCGTCAGTGTTTCAGCTGGATGAGTCTGAGCTTCAGGGAGGAGGAGCCATTTTACCCAGAAAACCCTCAGAAATATCAGAAATAATATTAAAATAATTCAAACATAACTCAAACTGCGCCCCCCCCCCCACCACCACCCACGTTTCCTCCTCTCTGTTAAACATGCAGAGCTGAGATTACAGGCTTCCACATTCAGAGGAGCAGCTGGCGCCATCTAGCGGCAGACAACATGAAACACAACAACAATCAATGACTGCATAACTTCAGCTGAGTTTTAATATTTGATCCTCCAGAGCTTCTCTACGCTCCAAACACAAACCTCTGAGGATTTAATTAGGATTGTATGCAGCTGATCTACCGGAAGTGATGCAAATTTCAAAGGAGGAAGAATAATATTATTACAATTAAAATAATAACCAAAGATCAGAAAATTCATGCCAGACCTTTTGTATTTGTAGTAATTTGTGTTTAGTTTTCCTTCCACTTCTCTGTTCCACTCTACTTCCTGTTGGTCCTTCACATTAAAACAGGAAATTTATTTTAAAGTTTAAATATACAGAAAAACATAAAACCTATGCAAAAGCATGAAGGATGCATTTTTTTTCAATGGGACTTTGATATTTCTAAAGATCTAAAAATATTATTGATGAAAATGTTCCATGAAAAAACTAAAACACTAAAAACTGCTAAAACCTATATTTAAAATCATTCATCGATCATCATGATTTTAAGCCAAAGAGCCTCCAGAGCTGCAGATTGCATCAAATCTTTACCGTCTGTCATGCTGAACAAGCATAAGGTGACTGTGGAGAGGAACATTCTCGCAGTAAGAAACCAGAACCAGGCTCAGCATTAGCGAAGAATGGTGCAATAGCTGGAGAGTAGTAGGAAAAAGTAGCAGAGTGAGAAGCGGCCATCTTGTTCTCCAGTGGCAGCATAACTGCAGAAGAAATGACGTGTAATGAGCCAGGAAAGAGCTGAAGGTACCAGGAAGAGCGCAGGCTCTCTGTGGTCTGATCTGGGTATGTTTATTTATCCTGAGCCGTCAGTGAAGGCATCACCAGAACACAAAGGCCCGGCATGCGAGCCGCGACCGACATGAGGAGACTGGAATCAGAGCGCTCCAGGAGCAAGGTGTGTGTGTGTGTGTGTGTGTGTGTGTGTGTGTGTGTTTATGGCGGTTGGCAGGTGCTTCTTCCTAATTTAACTCGGCTGATAAAGGAGATGAATGTCTCATGGTTCTGCCTGATAGTTTACATGATTTTTCCAAGAATATCCATCAGCATGACGCTCTTTACAGAAAAAGAGTGTGCAGCCCTCTTCATCCTCCTGTGCAGCCCTTATATTATTAACACCTGGAGTGTTGCCTTGACTCTTTCATACCTCTTTGAGAAATCCTTTAATCTCCATGACAACCATTTAGCTGCAAGACGCCTGGGTGAATGAAGCCCCGCCTTTGAGGCGCAGCTCCTCCCCTGAGCTGCAGTTTCTAAGTTTCCAAGAGCAGCAGCCCCTTCAGACTAGCCAGCAGCAATTAGCAAACAGCTGCTGAGCTCCTAATAGCAGCTGCTGCTCAGAGCAACGCTGGTAAAACTGTTAAAGGGTTAAAGAGGAGCCATGTTGGGATGACTTCCTGGTGACGGAGCTTCAGAAAGACCAGGAGCTTCTTAAAGGAACAGAGGCCCAATTTCAAGACATTGAATCAGGAAGTCAAATTTCTTTTAAGTTATATTTGATATATAAAGCATTTTTGTAATAACTGAAGGTAACAGAGTTACTTGGTTGTGCTATAAAACGGCTCTATGTGCCTGGAAATCACATAATATGTTCTTAAATGGTAGTAAAATGGTTTTGGTGCATGATTTGTAAACTTATGAGAGGTATTAATAGGTTAACTTTTCCCAAAGTTAGTAAAGCAAAACCACAAGGAGTCTATGAATTTACAGCTTTATAAACATTTAATATTCCAACAGCAAAATGTCTTAAGAGAACGTAAGAAAACAAGGTCAGGTTGAGAGACCTGAGGCCTCTGATTGGGTAAAAACATTAGAAATAAATATTAATGTCAACATGTACATTTTTATCCATGATAAACAGCAGCCTGGATGAACCAAACACAGATCAAAGTTTTTATCCACATGATGATTAAAAACTAAATCTTCCTTGTTTTCTTGACCTCCTGACCTTTAGACATGATGTCAGGAGAAGTTTTGATTAATTTTGTCCTGATGGGTTTTCAGCTCCTTCTCACACATCAGCTGGTGTTTCTCAGCCAATCAGGAAGCAGAGCTGGACTGGATCAAACATTTTATATTTTTATCAGATTTGAAACTCCAACCAACAGGCTGGATGTCATTTAATCTGAGCGCAGAAGACGACACACACACTACGCTCTCAAGTGGATGTTAGATGTTGTTTACTAATGTTCTCCCAGAGGATCTTACTGGATTTATGGTTTCATGAGTTTTGTAGTAGTTTAAATTTATTTTGCTCTGTTTTTGTAAAACCTGTTGGATGATGGAGAAGAAGCTGTTAGAAGTTGGTTTGTTTTGATCAGAAGCTGCAGCTGAGTAATAAATCCACTGAAGGGTTTCATGACAGCCACCAGATGGCGCTCTCTGACCTTTTAAAAAAGATCCAGTTTGAGTTTTTCTTCTTTTTCTTCAGGTCTGTTTTCAACACTTTGGTCTTTCCATATTATCTTTGTTGTCTTCCTGTTTCTGGATGAGACTTCAGAGTTCCTCTGGGTTAGATGATCACTTTGTTTTCTCTGCTTTTTCCCTGTTCTCTCTGTTAAACGGTGCAGATGTCCAAATGAAGCCATTTATTTGGCGTTTCACGGCCCAGGCAGACAGTCGCTGCACAGCCTGGATGCATGAAATATTTTGAATGCAATTTAATATTTTAAAACCAGAACGCTGAACGTGCTCATCAAACCCAACCTAAGAAGACGTCAGACTGGGTGGTTCTGGTGAGGAACCATCCAGTCAGAGTGAGACCTGGACCAGAACCTTCTCTGAACCTTAAACAGGATCCCAGTGAGACTTTCTAAGCCTTTAAACCGTCATCATGTTAACATCAGATGGATGTTCATCCAACTCGAGTCGGGTTGAGAAGCCAGTGGAGAAATGAAGGACGATGTTTGGATCACATGAATAAACATCATGACTCGGATGTGGCGGCAACAAAACGCTCAAACCAAACCTCCCACTGCTGCTTCCTTCAGCTGGATTGGTCCCATCCTGAAGGCCTTCCTGAAAACCAAAACACTTAAAATATCAACTTCTTTCTGACTAAGTGATAGAAATATGTCTTGTCTAAATGCTCAGATATGTGTGAAATAATCTGTGAAAGAAGTTAAAGAAATAGTCTGAATCCACAGCAGCCCAGTTCAGTCCGCTCTAATCCAAATCCAGTCGGTTCGTTTGAATGTTTAATCAAACTGATGCAAACCAAAAAGTGAACTCTGGTCCGCCTAAAAACCTCAGTCTGGGTTCAGTTGGAGGGAGACCGCTCCAAAAGCAGGAAGTGGACTACAGCGCAGGGCATTCTGGGTAAATCCAACCAAAGCTAACGTGCTAGCCTAGCGCTAGCAGCAGAAATGGCTCCTGGTCTTTAGACTAAAGAAAAATCCTCCAACCACTAAAATCTGACGCCTCCATCTTGTTTCCATCTGGTGAAGAAGGAAGTTGCTCTCAGTGTCTTCTTCGTTGGTTTTTATGTATTTTCCTTCAGTGGTTCTTGGTGCAGCGCCCCCCACAGGCTATAACTCCTCCCAGGAGGATCTGAACGTTTCAGGACGGAGCTGTGAAATAAATCCCATGTTCCTGCTGACCTGCGTCCATCACCTCTGTGATGAACGCTTTACTTCCCCTTCAGAGATGTGAGGCCTCCTCTCTTCATCTAATCCTCAGATCTGGGATCAGCTCAGAGGAAACAGCCTCATGACACATCCACCTCTTTCATGCTGTTTGCTGAGCAGAAGCATTTTTCATAACCTGAACCATCAGAGCTGCAGGTGTTGGTGAAAACGGTTCTGATCCACAGTTAACTGCAGACGGATTTATTAAATAATCCTTTTGTTCTTCTGTCTGGGGATCAGATTCTCCTGGCCTGATTCTGATCTGCAGTTATTTGGACCAGGAGATTCAATCCGGGCCGGTCCACCTGGACAGGTTCTGTTTGTTTGGGATCAGACTTTTGACCCTCTTCATTTATTCTTATGAGGTTTGTGGAAAAGCAGGCCCTCAGCATGATGCTGCCGCCGTTGATCTCGTCGGACCAGATCATGTTCTTCCAGATGTTCTGCACTGAACTTTAAACTTACTTCATCATGGATTTCCTTCAGCAGTGGAGTTTTGTGCAGTTCAGCATCTGATTCCAGATCCTCATGAAGCTTCTTGGTTCTTGGAAAACTTCTGATTTATCCTTTAACTCCAAGTCCAGACTCTGGTTGAGCTCAAGGATTTAATTTCACTTCCAATCAGAAGAAACATGTTTTAAATGAAAACATTAACTTTAATCTGGTATGAATCATTTTGGGATGTTATCTTTATTCTGTTTTGACTTTAGATCTTATCCAGTAGTGAGTAACAGGAACTGGTTCATCCTGCAGGAACTCATCCAGCTCTGATCAACAGAAACAACAGAGTGGATTAGATCCCTACAAACACTTTGTTTTAACGGGACGCTGCGTTTTCCTGCGGACCTGAAGGATGTGAAATGAAAAACGCTGATCTTCCCTCCAGCAGGAGGCCGTCATTAAACCTGAGGACTTCAGGGTGTCTGTTCGCTGCCAGGTGGAAATAATGGACATTTAGAATTGATTTGTCCTAATAAACTCCTTTAATGACTTCAGCTTTTACATTTTAATATTCCCACAGGCTGCTCTCAACATGTTCCCATGCACTTCACAGATGCATTGAGGGAAAACTGCACTAAATCTCATTATCATTAAATGTAATATTTCCTGTGCTCTGCTCGCTCATTCAGATTAAATGGATTTCAGCTC